CCATGTCCATAAGACAAGGGAAAGACAGAAGATAAGGGAACTAGAAATAGCCAAAAGTCTATATTTGCAAAATAAAGAAGGAGGGCCTCACATGTTCCATGTGAGATTTGACCTTTGAGCTCACGAGTTGCGATAGTGACCAAATCAGAGGGGAATAGTGGCCAATCAGAGGGGATATTGAGGCCCAAAAAACTGCATCCACTATAATTCGAAGTGATGTTGGGGATAAAGAGCTCCTGTGTGGGGTGATGGGGCCTCTCATTGATAAGCCAAGAATACTGTGCAGGTGGGTTAGAGGCTGCCTGGCAGGAGAGGCTGAGGTTTGTCCCACGTAGGTAATGGGAATCAGAGGGGTAAATGGTAGGGGTGTCCGGGCCATCTGGAGCAAAGAGAACACAGTCACACATGATGTAATCAGAGGGAAGGGGAAGGTACTGGTCTGTGTAAGGGCCACACTCTCCCTCTGAGCTGAGTCACAGCCTGGTTTTAAAAAGCCCCAACCATAGCCCCCTGTATTCACTCAGCTGAGTCTCAGACATTAACCGGTTTGTCCCAGTCCCAAGACCTAACCAGACTTGCCTATACAGGAAGTTATGGCCACCCTGGTGTGAGTCTGTGTACATGGACCTGAGAGGGACAGATGTAGCCTGGCCTCTGGCAGTGTGGATTCGGGTGAGCAGCCTGGCCCAGGCAGGGACAGAAGTTACTCACAGACAACATTCAGGGTGAATGGGTCACTGCGGCCAAGTTCTGTGTTTCACACTCATAGGGTCCCGTGTCTTTCCTTGTGACAGGGAGTAAAGTGAGAGTCCTGTTGTCCTTGGACAGCTGCAGCCTGGCACTGGCCGGGAGACTCTGACTGTTGATCAACCACAGGTAGGTGGTGCCCTGAGTCTGAGGTTCACACGTTAACACAACAGGGTCCTTGTGCTCCACGGGGAGGGAGTTGTTGCTTGTGATGTTGGGTTTGGGTAACTCCGCTGTGCAGATAACAGAGAGAACATTGCTGTGTTTTGTACCTTTAATTTCTCCAAAGGCATCTTCAATCAGAGTTGGTACCTCTTACCTCTCAACCAACTTTAGAACTCACTAAAAGAAATAAGGCAGGTCTGTGCATCACAAGACAAACAAATGCATGAGGAGCTGAGCGCTCAGAGATTGTAAGGCCGTCTGCTCTATGTCTGGGAGAAAAAGCATAGACTTTTTCAGGTGTCAGATAACTATCAGGGTTTGATCATAGAAAGACACAGGACTGGGAGTCAGAGACCACCCGGCACCTGCCCTGGTTCCTCACTGACCAGCTGACTGCCTGGCCGACCTTGGGTCTCACCTGGAATGTGCAGGTGCTGAGTCCCCTCCAGCTACACAGACCTACATTGCCGGGTCGAGATGTGTTTCCACTGAAGCCTTACATTCCAGGGTTGACCTAGAGATGAGTAATGATGGGCCACCCCGTAGTCCTAAACCCTGAGGGGACTGGGTAGTGTGGTCCTGAACTGGAAGTCTGAGCAGAAAAAAAACACAGATGACTACAAGCAAGTCTGGCGGTGAGTTCAGTACCCAGGCTGCAGGGCCACAAGGTGTGGTCATCTATCCAGGACTTTACTGGTGACTGACATGAGGCAGTGACCCCAGAAGGGCAGAGCAGAGTCCAGGAAAGATTTAGAAAAGAGTGAGGAATGATTGGAGCTGGCTGGAAGTGGCAGCAGAGCCAGGCCCTCTGTCCTTGGTCTGTAATGTCCTTTCTGCCACTGCAGAGGGCAGGGATCCTTCCTCAACACACAGCTGCCCTTGGTCTTTAATGTCCTTTCTGCCACTGCAGAGGGCAGGGATCCTTCCTCAACACGCAGACAATAGCACGTACAGAAGGGGGGCTTGTGGAGGGGGTGGGGCATGAACGTGGTGAAGATATGGCTCTCATGGTCCATTTGTGTTTGGCAGTTATGAGATACATTTTGAGTTACTGTGAAAGAATATGTGAAAATCACTCATGCCCCAAAGTTCTAATACCCATTTTTGGAGGAATTTCTGTCTAGAGAGCATGAAGGTCATAGACCAAGTTCTGCCATCCAACCAGGTTACACTGTGACCAAAGGGAGATGCCACAGTGGGTTTGGAATCAGGAACTCCCTGGGATAGAGAGAAGGTGAGCCCTGCTAAGAGAACAGAAGTGACCCGGGGCCGAGTCCAGGTGTCTGCTGTATACAGGGAGGGATGCCACCAAGTTGGTAGAAAGGACATGTGTCATGTTAGTAAAGTTAGGGAGACGTTCCCTCCCTGTTTCTATGGACAGTCAGGCAGGTGGGGAGGAGCCCCCACACGGGCCTGTGGCATGTGCTCTTCCTTTTCCTTCTAACTCAGGAAACAACTGGAGTTTAGTCAAATTCATTCAAATTGGGCAGCATCTGAGAGAACGGAGAGTGGCTGGTGGATCTCATAGTCCGAGAGGATCCCACTCAGTGGTCAAGGTGTCTTCATAAGGACACACGTGTGTGAAACAGGCAGTGAACCTGGTGCAGGGTCACCAGGCCCACCTTGGAAAGGTCTCGGGAGCCACTGGGAGAAATGGGAGCCTCACACCAGGACGAAGATGTGAGTCACCAGTCAGGGGTGAAGTGAGCCCGTGAGCTTTGGGGACTGAGACCTGTCCTCTGCCTTTGACTCCCTGGTTGAGTCATCTAGAGAGTAGGTCAATGGTTTACATGCCTCAGTCATATGGCCTGTTCCTCCTGTTGGCCTCAGGGGGGAAGGAGCTCTGATGGAGTCCCAGCAGAAGCACTTTCTCCTGGTGACCTGGGAAACTGGCTCATGATGGAGCCTGGGCTGCTGCTCCCACTGATTTCTGTGTCTTTTCCTATTCCCCGGGAGGGTGGACCTGGACACAGGTGTTAGGACAATCTGGGGAGACTGCACAGTTGGGGAAGCAGAGCAGAGTAAGGCAGTGTGGCTGGAGTGAAGGAGGAGGCAGATGAAGGCCAAGGAGCAGAGAGTCCCAGAAATGTGCTTGGTAGTGAGCAGTGGGGTTACAGATGATTTCTGGGAGGGATACTAACACATCAGGAAACAAGTGGTTTCAAGTCCAGTGTAGGGAGGTGTGGATTGGCCACCTGAGGGGAGGGCCTAGGTGCTCCCAGCACTGACTCTGAATGTTACTGCAGGTAATTTCATTCTAGAATAAAAGCAGATCAACTCTCTATTTGTTATCACTCCCCAGACCAGAATCTCTCCCTCTGTGTTGGGGACAATTATGAAGAAAGGATCTGAAGCAATAGCTGGTTTCAGGGTCTACAAATGCATAATAAGGCCCTTGGAGTGGAGGCGAGGATGGGCTGTTACTGCAGAAAGACCTTGGCATGATTCTGATTGGCCAGTTATGGTCTGCGTGACTCTGATTGAGTAACTGTATCCCCCTGTAACTCAGTTTCCCCTGAATAAAACAGAATAAATGGTAAATGGTCTTAGGTTTGCCATGCTGTCTTTGAATGAACCTTAAATCTTTTGCAATTTACTGACTTAAAGCTTGGAAAAGAGGAGCTTCCCAAGTTAACAGCACCTGTTATTTGTCCATGAGAGAGGACTCCCTGGCCAGATCCCTGGTAGACAAGGAGCGGCTTGGAGCATCTTCTCTTCCTCTCTGGGGATGCTGACCTTCCTCTGGATTCTGTTGTGTCCCCCAGGGCAGTTGGCTAATGGCCTGGGGGTCTTGTGCACATTTGCTCTCCACACATAGTCTCAGGTATATGTGGGGAATGCCCAGGATCTGCTGTCCTTTTCCAGTTGTGGTGGGTCTACTATGGGTTATGAGTGCTTCCCCTATTACGTGGGCTAGAGGCAGTGTCTATGCTCAGAACCCTTCCTTTTCCTCCCTTCATTGCGTGCACAGTAGCAATATAGAAGCAGGCTCCATCCCTGCCCAGATGTGGCTCTTGAGGCTGAGCCCTGGCTGGTAACCAGTTCAGGAGCCTTGTGACTTGGGCACCTAGGAAACTTGTTCTCAGTCAACACTTCCACAGACTAAACCCAACCTGACACAGGCTCCTCAGGGACCCTGAAGTCAGAAGCCCTGGGACTGAAGTCTGGGGAGGGGCTGCCCCTTTTTTTGAGCTCTGTGAGGAACCCAGGGGGCCCATCATCCATGCCCTGCAGGGTCTTTCTCATGGTCATGGTCATGGGAGGGGCCCAGGGGCCTGGACTAAGACTGATCTCCCTCTGCTGAGTCACTACCATCGGACTGGCCCTTCTCTCTGTGGAGAATGTCTGCAGGGTTGGAATTCAGGAAGGGGACTCTGATCTTAGGAAGTTTGTCTCCACTGTGTGTGTCCTGCACTAAATGCTCAAACCCAACCTGGGAGATGATGCAGAGGAGGATGGAGGAGAGTCCAGGGCTATCAGTCCTGTGTGTTCACCCACCCGACACCCAGAGGTCAGAGAGCAATCACTCACTGTATACACGGAGCTGTCCAGTTACTTGTTTGTTCTGAAAATTTTCCACTATGGCTTGTAGGGTGTAGTCTCCTGTGTCTTTCTGGGTGACGTTCTGGAACAGGAGGGATCCATCGGGGTTTATGGTCTCTCTGCCAGTGCTTGCAGGCCCGAGGGTAGTTGTTTGAGTGTCTATTACATATGATACAATTTGAAGTTCGCTGTGTATAGTTTCCCCTTTGTACCAGGCATAGCCTCTAAGATTCCCAGGCAGATTGTGGACACGGAGAAGCACACCCTCCCCTTCGGCAGCATTTGGCGGCACTGATTCAATAGCGAGCTGGGCAGTGGTGGGCAGGCTCCAGAGGGTTAAGAGTGAGACTAGGAGGGAAGAGAGAAATTGATCAATCTTTGGAGCTATGTATTGAGATGGAGAGATGGGGCTTTGGGACCTGAGCAGGTCTCTACATCTTTCAGCCTACCAGTTCACAACGCCTTGCTCTGAGTGTGTGTGTGTGTGTGTGTGTGTGTGTGTGTGTGTGTGTGTCCTGTGGTCAAGGTCAGCAGCATGGCCACCAAGACTTCAGTACATCCGAACCTGTTATTTTTTTCTGTTTTGAGAACTTTCCCAGCTGTTTGCCCATCTCCCTAGCTCTCTTCCTCACTGTCCTCAGACCTCTGCTGACACTCAGGGGCATCCCTGAGATTAGCCTTCACTGACCCTTTAAAGACGCCGTTTTCACTTTCTTTTTTTTAAATATATTTTTTATTAAGATATTACATATGTGTCCTTATCCCCATGTTATCCCCTACCACCCCGCTCATGCCCTCACCCCCCGTTGTCCGTGCGTTTTCACTTTCTGACCTGTCTCTGCTCTGTTTCCTTCATGGCACCTGTAGGTACCTGACATCACATGTAGATGTTTCTTTGTCTGTCTCCTCCCCATAGAACATGAGCTCCATGGGGGCAAGGGCTTGTCTGATCTTGTTGCACCCCCAGTGCCTGCAACAGGCTGCAAATACCTACAGTTGAATGAATAAATGTTCCTAGGGTCCTGCACCCCCTAGGGTGTATGTGCCCATTTCCGAGGTTGGTGATAAAGACAAATGCTTAGTGCCCAAATTGATATGCTAATCAGTTTTCAGAAAGCATTTCAGTGATGAATAACTTGTAAAACTTCACCATAAACGAGGTTTTCCTGCTCCTCACCACCTCCAGATCATGGATTGTCCTGCTGCTGAGCCCCCTCCCCCACCCCATCCTACTCTGCTCCCCTGTCCTCTTCCTCAGATCCAAACAGAAGCCCTCTGCCCACTCTCAGAGCGCTGTGCTCCCCAGAAGACCCAGCCAGTCTCTGTCTCCCCTTTTCCTGTCCACCCCCAGGGATTGTCCCCTCCTTACCGGTCAGCAGGAGCCCCTGCCAGGGGACGCACCCTCTGTGTGCAGGGGCTGAAGGGGACTCCATGGTGTCTGCTGTCGGTTCTGTCCCGTCCTCTGCGAGAAAAGCTTTCACTTCGAAACGCTCACAGGCACCGCTTTTCTGAAGCGGGTGATCTGCTGTCCTTTTCCAGTTGTGCTGAGTCTCCTCGGGG